GGCACAGCAGTAGCTCAGTGATAGAAAACGTTCTGGAGATGCTCAGCGCCTCACTTCTCCAGGTCTGACTGGGAAAGAGCCCTGCCTGAACACCCGGAGAGCTGCTGCCTCAGCCTGGTGTTCTCTAAAGGTGCTGCAGTGCAACTCTCACCCAGCACTCAGAGGATGGACCAATAGCTCGACTGCATGCAAGGCAACCTCCGAAGTTCATATGGCATGTGGTGAGCTGGGAGTAATGGGACGATGTCAGGAATCTTATTAGCATCCTCATTTCATCATGTGTCATCTTAGCCTGAGGGACTCTTGACACTGATGGTTCAAAATGATACAGTCCATTTTTCCCAGAGTACAAAATAGATTAACATGCCGCAGGGCTCTGCAAATCTAATCTGTTCATATTTAGAGATTTGGTTCAATCCTGATTTGATTTAAGAACATGTTAAAGTTGTTACTCTCCTGTCTAAATCCGATTAAGGATCAAGCGAACATTGAATGTGTTCATTTGGAGGTTCATCTCGCTAGCTCATAATTATCTCTGCATTTGGGATGGGTCAATGGGTATAAAGCTATTACTTTTCTTGGTACTTGGGAGCAAATTGCTGAATTAAGTGTCTGGTAATCTCCCTGGGTCTACTTTGCATGAAAAAAACTAGACATAATAAGAGGGCTTTGGTTGCCTCTTGTCTCCATTTATTTTTCAATGGTTGTGCTACAATGAAGTTCTACCTGAAGCAACAACTTTTTGCTATAGAAAGGGTTATTAAAAAGCTGGAAAAGATGCAATCCAGCTTATCAAACATGTGGGGCAAACATGGATGATGAAAGGTTAGAATCTCTGAGGCTTTTTATCTAAAAAAGAAAAGAATATTGGCAATAGGCAATATAGGTTGTAGGTGTACACATGGGGAGAGTAAAGATTTTTTTCTTCCTCTTAACAAGGAAGAGGCCTGGCGTCACAGTGGGAGATTCAGGACAGATCAAGGGAAGTACCTCTTCACAGGCTGCATAGTTCAGCCACAGAATTTGTGACCACAAGTCAGCTGTCTTCACAAATACGGAAGGTCTGTCTGCCAATAAATAATTGCTGGAAGTAGATTTTTATGCCAACTGAAGCTCTAGGCCCTGCTAGAAATAGACAGGTAAAATTCTCTTCCTATGGAAGTTTGACAGAACCAGCAAAGCAAAGTGTTTCTTTGTTCATGCTACCCTGTTTCCCCAAAAATAAGACCTAACTGGAAAATAAGCCCTAGCATGATTTTTCAGGATGCTCGTAAAATAAGCCCTACCCCAAAAATAAGCCCCAGTTAAGATGGTCAGCCAGACGGACTCATTTAGTACATCCGTTGCAACACAATTTGGGGTTTGGAGAGTTACAACAATGTTCCAGAAGAAGATGACATGACTGTATTTGAATAAATGTAGATTTTTGTACATGAATAAATGTAGATTGTTGTACCTGAAAAATAAGACATCACCTGAAAATAAGCCCTAGTGTGTCTTTTGGAGCAAAAATTAATATAAGACCCGGGCTTATTTTCAGGGAAATACTGTAGATAGGAAACAGTCTGTTCCTACGGAAGCTTGAACCTCCACTCTGTTTCTTGCTTCGCTGCAAAATCCTTGAGTGGCCCTTGGGGAGAGGCAGACTTGGGCTCAGTTCTTCATCTGCAAAATAGGAACCGTGGCACCCCATCTAAAGGTTTTCCAGGATACCGCACACAGCCATCTCTTGGTGCCCGCCAAACTCTCTGCTTCTCCTCATTCTTATTTTATTTCATAAGATGATTATGTTGTTGTTGTTGTTGTTGTTTACACCGGGAAGCTGCCATGCTGCAAAGCAGAGTGCTGTCTTCTTTAATCAGGTTCAAAATGGTTGTTTGGTGTTTTGAAGTCCAGGCCCCACTTCTGCTTTGTCCCTAGGTTTTTGGGTAGGTAATTTCTTTTTTTGTCTCATGAGTTTGCCCTCTGAGAAATGGATGTTTTGAGACAGGATGTTGGGCACAAATTGAAGACCATACAATGTTTTTGCACTGCAGTTTTTGCAAAAGTTCTACTAAGTTTCCCGCATTCATCCGGCACATGCCAACCTTCTTGCTGTGCAGGTGGTGCAGAGTGCCGTCAAGGGTATCTGGGGAGCACCACAGGGCTTGCTAGTTTAGATGCCCCCATCCTGTGCAAGAGGCAAGCCTCTTCTTGGGCCAAAGCAGGCTGTCGGAACACTTCTGCAGGCCCACCTTTGCTGTAAGCTGCGTGAGTGCTGAGAAGGCAGCTGGGAAGAGGGAAGAGCCTGGCGTGCTTATCCAAATCCACGGTTTATGAGCCATGGATTAAATAAATAAATCTTTCATTATAACACTTTTCCTTCTGGATGTTTTGAGTACAGTCCTCATTGGTCCGGGCTAGCACGAGCAGTTATTATTATTACATTATGTGTATTATTCAGTGGCATCTATTGCCTGCCTTTTTATCCTGCAGCTTACATGGTTTTCCTCCATTCCAGTGTTCACCTCATTATAACAGCCCTGTGAGGTAGGACAGGCTGGAAGCGAATGACTGGCCCAAAGTCACCTAGCAAGCTTCATGGCTGAGTGGGGAGGAGAACTGGAATCTCCCAAGTCCCAGCTCAGCTCAGCCACCCCGGATGTAAGTGGAGATTATAGGAGTTCTAGCCCAACACATTTGGGGAATTAGGGAAAGTTGCTCAAGAGCAGTGTGATCTTAGGCCCAGACTAGCCTCCCTGGGCTCCCAGTCTGGCTCAGATTCCCAGTTGGCAGCAGGCCTTCCCCTGACCCCTTTCCCCCAGCCACCCAGAGTTGGTCGGTTCCCTGGCTTTTGTGCAGCTCGTTCCCCATTCTGAAGGACTGAAATGCTTTCCTTAAGGCTCTGTGCTGGCAGTAAGCGCTTTAAGCAACCAGTGCTGGCAGTGCCTGTAACTGTTTTACTTCCGTCCTTTTTGTCCTTGGTCCTGCCCCTTTACCTTCAGCCTCATCCCTGGAATGTGGCCCCAGGACCTGCTTCAAACTTGCATTTGTCCCTTCAGCTCTAGGGGCCACATCTTCTGCACAGTTCACTAGCTTAGGGTGCAGGCCTACTGTGTGGTGAGCCCCCAGCCCAGGGGTTTACGCTCGTCCTCTGCAGGGCAGGAAAAGGAGCACACACAGCCTTTAGCTCCCCATGCTCCTGCCCTGCGAATTTGCTAGACAGACCTTTTGGCCCAAGTAGTTCCCATGTTTCAGAAGAGGAGGGAGGGAGGCTGGGGAGAACTCTTCTGCTCCTCACTCACTAAAGTGCTGCCTTTTCCCTCTCTAAAGTCACATTTCCCCACCTTGGAGAGCAGACAGCAGGCAGGCATCAGCGCTTGGCTACAGAGATTGGGGGTTGCCTCGGACCTTGGATCTGGAATCTGAACTATCCTACAGCCCCTCCAATGCTATCCAGTGTCCATAGGATCTCTACCTTAGTCTATTACAAGAAAAGGAAACAAGCAAAAGCACCCCGGAAAATCTTCTGGCACCTTATGCTCTAGTAAAGGTGTTCAGGCATAAACTTTTAGAAACGAAGAAACAGAGCTAGTCAAAAGGGGTCACCTGGGCCATCTAGTCTGTCCCCTGGCTCCAGCCGGCTCTGCTCATGACATGCCCACCATGAGCTAGAATCCTCTTTCATGAACTAGAATCCCCTTCCTCACATGCACAAATCATTAAGCTCACCTGGCAGACAGATATTTCTTTTGTTTTTAAAATGAAGGCAATTAGGGCAAATAGCAAGGCAAGACAACACATACAATCTGTGACAATTTAATTAAAGCTACAGCTGCATTGAGATCTGGTCATGCCATGAACGGACTAACCTACTTAAATCTGCAGCCCATAATGGGTGATTCAAATGCCCTCTCACCTGGAAGACCTCCTAAATCACCTTGGGGACGGTCACCATTGCTTAGGAGACTCTACCTTGCAAGGTAACTGTGAGGGTAAAATATTTGGCAGGAGAAACACTATTTCTCTTGCCTTAAACTTCCTTGGGAAAAGGTGGATTTTCAAAAAATAAATAAAATGCCCTCCTAAACGGTTACCAACTACGACTTTTTCCGCATGTTCAGCACCATCTATTTTTCTACCCTCTTCTATGTGCTTTTGTGAAGCATCCAGCCAAATGAAGAGTTTCGATGGAATGAAAAGCTCGCCGGCTTCTTCATGGCTTTCCCAGTGTTCCTCTTCTTCCATTGGATGTTTGTCCCTTTTCCCTGATTCCACTGAGAAAAGGCGAGTTCTGATTGGGCCCTGCTTTCCGTTCCCACGGCAGCTAGTGAGTGCCCTTGCGACTGGTGAGGCGAAGGAGAACTCGGCCGATGCGCTATTCGACTGAGACAGCTGGAGTCCGGGAGACCAGATGTGGCGCTTGAGCTAGCTGGTTGTGGGGGATCCCTCCGGTCTAGGGGACAGGAAAGGAGTCACTGCCCCGTTTGCCTCATACACAGAGTTGCCGCAACTGAGCCGAGCATGTCATTTGGCCAGATCAAGGGGCTGCAGCCAAGACCTTGGGACTTCAGGCTGGGGCGAGCTTTTGAAGCCAGATGCCCAACGGAGAATAGATGCTTCCTGAAAAGTTAAGACCAGCCTTTCCTAAGCTGGTACCTGCCAGATGTGTCAGCCTATTGTTCCATGGTCTCCTAGTGAGGTCAGGCCATGTTGGTTGTGGATGATGAAAGTTGTGATACAACACATCTGGCAGGCACCGGGCTGGGAACACTTTTAAGTAGGCTTCTTCGCACGCAGAACTTCACAAGAACAAGGCTGTAATTCCGGTTAGCTGCCCGGTTCTCCGCCCCTCCGTCGCCAGCCCCTCCCCTTTGGAGCTCCGGTCTCCGCCCTCCACCTGTGCGCACCGCCCCCTTGCCACCTGATAGGTCTCTTCCCCTCCCTGGGGCGCCGCCCCCTGCCCCCCCACCTGCTGGGCACGCCCCACCTGGAGCGGCTCCTTCCCGCTTGCGGGATTGCGCTGTTGCACCTGCCGCTCGCTGACTTGCCTCTGGAGCGGCCCGGGCGCGGCGCGGCGCGGCGCGGCGCAGCGCAGCGCGGCGAGCATCTCCGCGGGCGATCGGCGCGATGGAGCCGCTGCCGCTGGCGCTAGGACTGGCGGCGTTGCTGGGTGAGTGGGGATTCTGCGGCCGGGGGAGGCGCGGAGAGCAGGGGACCGGACCGCGGTCTTTCCCGCCGGCGGCGGGGCATGCGGGGGGGGGGGGAATCCGTCGCCCCTCCGCCCCTGGGCGCGCGGACCAACGCGAGCGCAGTCTTCGCCGCCGCCTCCGCAACTTGGAGTGCTGTCCCGGGAGTTTCCTGCGATCCTTCCCTGCGCGCATTGCCCGAACTCAGCCCACGAAGGCGCTTCGGCGTAGACATGGCTGGGACCGCCAGGAACCCGGAGTTGGGGCGGAGGGGCTTGCCTTGCAATGAGGAGAACTTCTGCTCGGTTTGGGATCTTAAGGCGGATTAGTTGCCTCCGCTAGGAGCCGGCTAATCGGCGAGTTATGCAATGGATTGGGGTCGCGGTGCTGAGAGATGGGTCGGTTGCCCCGTTCTGTCGGCCAGGAAAGTGGCGCCTCCGTAAAGCTCTCCACGAGCGAGCGAGCGAGCGATCGTCTGCGCGGAAAGGACCAGGTGGCGCGCGTTATTCCTGATTAACGCAGCGGAAGCTGTCACCTTGCGCCGGCGTCTTGGAGTCGATGGGATAAGCTGGTCTGGAGGCAGCGCTGGTTTTCCAGGAGAAGCGAATGGCGCGGCCCGAGGCACATAACTCGAAAGCGAGCCCCGTGGCGGGCGCTCCCTGGAAAAGGCGCACAGGGGCCGCGGCGGGCGGGCGGGCGCTGGGGGCAGGTGCCAGGCGCAGATGCTCGCCTTGCTCCGACGCGGCCACGGGCGGTGCTTTGTCCTTAATTGTCACGCAAAGTTGGATAGATCCAAAAATTGCCCGATAGCCCCTCTTTTCTGCCGCAGGTCGATAGCGTGGTCAGCGAGCGTGGTGTGCCATTATTGCTGTTAATTATGTTCCCAGTTCCTAAACTGGCTGGGAGAGCTTGGATTTCCCTCCCTCTCTCTTTCCTTATCTAAGGTACCATGTGGGGTTGTTCTGAAGATTTAAAAAAAAAGGGGGGGGGAGCAATCCTGAACTCTTGGAGGGAAAGTAGAATGAAAGTAAAGATATAGGAGTGCCTTTCTTCCTTTCTTCTCCTGCAACCCTCTTCGGGAACTATTCCATTTCTTGTCTTGTTTCTGTAGCTTTGCTGCTAATTTCAGAGGAGACAAATTCAGTTGGCATAAGCTGCATTTACCCCAGGCTCCTATAGACCTTCAAGGGAGCTCCCATTATGTCCGGTAGTAATTATCGAGATTTATTTTGATGGTTTCCTTCCATTCCTAGCCTACCCACTCCCTTGTACCTCTGAGGGGAGAGGGAAAATCCTCTTAGGGTGCCATTCTATGCACGTACAGACAGAAAAATGACCTACAGGCCCTGGCTGGTATGTGTAGGTGTGTAGGATTGCAGCCTTAATGGTTCTACAGGTTCAAGATGCTTGAAAAAGAGGCTAGATAGAATTAAGGTCACTTGGATGTGAGAGAAAAGTGCTCATTAAAACTCTAATCTAGAGGAGCAAGGTTTTCCTCCTCTCTCTCTCCCTCCCCCTCTACCTCCCCCTCTACATCTCCTGTGCTGCCTGGTTACAAAAAAACTACCACGGGTAAACTTTCCAGTCAAATTCTACTCCCCATGGTTTTGCCTGAGCTATTCCAAGGGTAGAGAGGGACACGTGTTTATTTCTATCTCCCTAATGCATTTGTCAGGCATCTTTCCCATATCAAGACAGCTTTCAGACATTGCTAAATGCAGCGTTAATATTTGTAAATGAGATAAAAATGCACTTGTGCTGTGATTTAAAAAAAAAATCCTGGAAATTGAAAACTACCCTCAAAAGATCAAGTAATACTCCAGTTCACATGACAACAATCTGTCATCTGGAATGGAGATCGATGATGAAACTGCCAAGGGTCAGTTCTAGCTTGAGTCGCATCAGCCCGGAGTCTAAGGATTTAACAGACAACAGTGCAGCCTGCACTTGGAAATGCAGAGAGATTGTGGTTTTATGTCACAGGCAGATTGGAAGAAGCCACATAGATTGGGCTTCCCAGCCTGGTTGCCTCCAGATGCATTGGGCTAAAAGTCCCATCTGAATGGCCAAGGTGCTTGTGTTGAGGGTTGCAGTCCCACCCATCTGAAGGGAGCCAGGCTGGGGAAGACAGACATGGGATCTGTGAGTACAGGCAACTTACTGACCCATCCAGATTCCTGTTCCACTCATTATTCATGCATCAGGCTGTATATTAATCATTGATGCATCCATCCTGAATGATACATTGGGGACATCTTAGGTCATTGGTCGTCAGCTCTTCAGGCCATCAGCTGTGTCTTCACCTAGTGGATCCCATCAGCATCAGCTCTGAACTGACTTTGTGTATGAGAAGGGAAAGAAGGAAACAGAAAAACTGAACAGATGGCCATATATGGTTGTAAGAAGTTGTCCTCCTTGAGATATAAACCCAGACTTTAAAAACTGCCAGTGTAGAATTCAAAGTGGGTTCTCATTAGGGAAAATTGAATGCTAGTGCCCTTAGAAATGTGAGCAAAAATGCTTCATTCTGTTTCTGAATTCTAGGAAGCAAAAATCATTTCACATTATTTTAAAGTAGTTTCCTTTTCTGCCTTTGTTCCATAGGAGGCACCTACATAAATTGTTCAAGACTTTTGTGTACAGTGAATGTTTCTCTCTTCCCCCACCCCTGTGTGCCTGTGCGTCTTTCCCACTCCTTGCTCAACAGACCTGCATGGTCCAAACCCCCCCCCACCATAACTTCATTTCAAGTCCCTGCTATTTGTGGTGCAGACAGTTTGTGCTATGAAGGAAACAACTTGGGAACACCTGTTGTATACTTCAGGGAAGAGAAAGCTAGCAGTGGCCTGTTGAATATCGTTGGGGTGAGCGATTTAACTCAGCTTTCTTCCCAGCCTCAACAAACCCCCACATTGTCATTAGTGAAGAAAGCTTTTTATTTAAAAAATAAAACAACAAGTTAGTGTTTTCCAATTCTGTCTAAAATCAGTGTATTAAAAGCCAAGTCCTTTGATTTTTTTCCCCATGCAGGAGTAAAAGAATCTGCCAGCCCCTGCACACAAATGTACTTAGCAGTGCCTGCCATATGACAAAGACTTCTGTTTGGGGTGCATGTGTTAATTTGTTAAAACATCGTTTGGAAGCTACGAACATCCTCGCAATGTTGTTCTGGCAAAAGAGCACAGATCTAGCACTCTACCTCACCCCAGCATAAATGTAAAGTGTGGGAGAACAGATGGCATTTCAGTCCCTCCCCCAAATGCATATACTCTGTGTTGGTGATATATTGTATTTCTGCCACTCGCTGAGCGCAGCAAGCTGCCGGCCTTGCACTGATTGAGACCCTTCCTCCATTTCACTCATTCCTGTGTGTCCATGGAGGAAAGAGGAAAGATTCCCAGGCTTGCCTACAATGCGTATAGCCTGTTACTCAACTTCAGTCTATCCCTGTGTGATGGCACAGACGTGCTTGTGGCAGCATTTTCTTAAGTTGCCCGTAAAGCCTCGGAAAACCTGTTGAGCAATTGAATTCCCACCATACAGGGAATTGTCTTTTAAGTCCTGGAATCTCAATCTGAAGGACACCCTATCTGCAAGCTTGGGGCTCGTACCTTGCAACATTCGTAATCATTATGTATCAGTGGGATGGAAAAGCTGCCACACTCCTGATGTTGTTGAACCGTGATTTCCATCAGCCCCAGGCAGCCTTGCCGATGTTGAGACTTGACATATTCTTTGTATTTGAGCCCAGCTGTTCCCGGACCTGTGGTGTTCCCTTTGTCTGCTCTATCTCACACTGGCTATGCTGGAGAGGTAGAAGTGTCTTCCAGTGATCGAGGGCCAACACTGATGTGTTCAGAATTGGCCCTGAATACTGCTGCACTTGGTTTAAAGGATGGGTGGGCAAATTCCCTGTGTGGGGTGGGGGGCTGCATGGCACCCGCCCGGAGTCCACTGCAGCCTGAATCGGGTGCCGGCACACATCCCTGCTGCCTTGTTTTCAGGCAAAATGCCTAGTTCTTTGCTCCTGCTGCCGCAGCAATTTCTACAGCGAATGGGAGGCCACGGGTTGCTCAGCCCTGCTTTAGCAATGGTTCAAGCCCACCTACAACTTCACCTGTTGACATACGTGACAAGTAACGTTTTATTCAAACGTTGTTTTAATTGTTAATATTATTTATTTATTTTATTCTTTGGCCAGGGTGGCTTAATTTATACTGTTAAATTATATTGTTTCATATTATGTTATTTATTTATGATGGTGAGCCGCCCCGAGGCTTCGGCGAATGGGGCGGCATAGAAGTTCCCTAAATAAAGAAATAAATAAATAAAGGGGTAGCTTTCACTAAGTAACTATTCTGTGGTGCGGCTCAACAGACAAGGGATCCCCAATGTGAGAAGGGGGATCCCTCACTTTCCTCATCAACACAGTCACTGATTTGACTTTCATACTCTCTGCATGGTCTTAGTAATTTCAAGTTTCTTACCTCAGCAGTAATTTATACCAGGTTATCAGCGGTCATTGCCTTAGTCTTCTAACTAATTCTCCATTGCCAGTAACACATCAATAAAGCAGACGTCTTGGGTGCTGGCGCACTTTGCTTGACGTTAGTGTAGCTGGTGCCTCTTTAGAGAGTTTGAGACAGAATGCGCAGCACTAAGCAAAGTGGACCTCTGAACTACTCCCCCTCTTTTAAAGTGTACCAAAAACTGCCATGTGTGCAAAACAGCCAGTCCCTTGTGTCTCCTGAGGATGGATTGGGGCACTGCAGCATTGCTTTCTGTGCAAAAAGTTCCACCTTGAACCCTTGTCCTCCCTGGTTGCCAGGAGGATCGCGTGGCAGTTGATGGGTGAGACCTTCTCTTTGCCTGAGACCCTGCCGGCTGTCGAATGCCGAGTAGCAAAAGAAAGCCCTGAAGCGCATCTCCATCCCTCGCATCATGTGATGCAGATTTCATACTACATAGCACAGTCCTATATTCT